TGGTGGAGCACGCTCACACCGCTCCGACGGAGCGCGTTATCCCTTGGAAGATCACTGGCTTGAGCAGGTAGTACATGCACAGCAAGAAAAAATTCTGTTGTGTCGCCTTGGTCCCCCCTCAGATCTCGGTGGACTCTATCCGCTCGAGCCTAGAGGGAGTCCACGTCTTCTTCTCCTCGGTGTGCGGGGGGCTGGTGGCCTTCGTGTTCATCTCGTTGACCTTGTGCTCCAGGAGCTGGTTCTTCTGGTACATCTCCACGTAGTTCAGCTGCAGCTGCTTCTGGTACTTGATGACTTTCTCCTTCTCCTCCTGCCACGTGCGCCGCTCCTCCTCGAAGTCCATCACCTGCTGCTCCCGCTGCTGCCGCTCCAGCTTCAGCTCCGTCTGGAGCCGCTCCACCTCCCTCCGCAGGGTGTTCACGCTGTCCTCGCTCTGCCGCTGCATCTTGGCCTCGTCGCTCTCGCAGGCCAGCGGGTCCCGCAGCTTCTCCCCCAGGTCCCCACCAAAAGACCCTGCAGGTCCCATGCTGGCAAGTGTCCGCTTCAGGCCGGAGACCTCCAGCTCACAGTGGTTCAGTTTTTCCCTCAGCACCTGGACCTCGCTCATCTTCCTCTGCAGCTCGCCCTCGCAGATCTCCAGGTTGACGCTCTTGGAGCTGTAGGAGTCCTTCAGGGTGAGGATCTGCTCCTCTTTCTCCCGGAGGAAGTTCTTACCTTCCTTGAGCTGCGACCGCAGCCCCACAATCTCATTGAGCTTCTGGGAGACGTCGGCTTGGGAGTCCTTCAGCTGCTGCTTGAGCAGGGAGATCTCACCTGCCTTCTGGCACACCTGTGGGGAGAGCACTCATGAGGCTGGTGGATGGCAGCAAGGAGCTCCTTGTCCTCTGCACTGTCCAAAAAACAACCCTGCTCAAGGACCCAACCTTCACCAGGACCCAGACCATGCCACACATGTAGAGGTTGTCCCCACCTCTGTGTTTTCTCCTGGGACCTGATGCTGTTCCCAGCTTGAGTTGCCCAAACAGCCAAGCCCAGTGATGCAGTGCCCACCAGCAATGCTCCGCTCCTGTCTTCCTCTTACTCTCCCACCCACAAACCCGTGGGGCTCAATCCCAAACCTTCTTCTGAACAGCTGCAAATGGCACACTTAAGAGCCTAATTAGTCCCAGCTTCATTGACTTTCCGTCAGGATTAGCAGAATAAGGTCGTCTTGATTCTAGAGCTGTTTTGTCTCTGCACTCTTAATAAATTTAAAGTTTCTAGCCTGTGCATGGAAGGATTAAAATTCTTCACATGATCAAGCTGAAAAAATGGTATGTTAGCACTGGCTATACAAACAGACCTTGATAAAATGTTCTAAAAATAGGAGCAGTAGGAAAAAGTTATGTAGGACTCAACAGGAGAACTAGAAAGAGGAATTTGTTTTTCAGCCTTTTAAGAGAGATCAACTTAATACCAGAAAAAGTGTGTTACAATGGAAAACATGAGGTAAACATGACTATCAATGTCATTCTTAGCTCAGTTGCTTTTATATCTTCAATCAAAAAAAAAAAAAATCAAATATCTGAAAACCGGTTTCAAGGTTTGCCCAGATGAAAATGGTAAAAGAATTTAATTAAAATAGACTTAAGCCCATTTTTTGGCAGGAACAAGTACCTGTGCGGAATGACCTGTATTCCGTGAAACTGGATTTGAATGTCATGACTTGGAGTGACCAGACTGTGAAGTCAAATTATTAAGCAGCACAGGAGGGTGTGCACAAAAAGTTGTGCTTATTTTAGCTTAATTGAAATCAACATGCCTGGGACCCAGAAAAATGAGGTGACAAGTGGCACCTGTTACCTGGAGGTCACCAACCCATGGTGGGTTCCACTTAGGGCATGTGGGAGGTACTTTGGGTCACCAGATCCCACAACGGAAACCTCATTTACGGCCTGTTACAACAATGCTCTTACCTCCCACTTGGTCTCTTCAATCTTCGGGAGAAACTCAGCCTGCTCCTTCTTGAAAGCCACAAATTTCTTCTCCAGCTCCTCTCGTTGCTGGAGGAGTTGTCCCATGTCGTCCTGGAGTTTTTTTTTCTCCTGCTGGAGCTTGAAGATTTGGAGCTGCAGAGCCTGCTGAGCCCGCTGCGCCTTTTTGGAGACCTGCTGCAACTTATTGGCATAGTTCTGCCTCAGGTCCTCCATTTCCCTCTCCCAGATCTTCTGCTTCTCCTCGAACACCTGGAAGATGGCCGCCTCGCTCTTGTCCAAGTTCCTCCGCATCTGGAGCACCTCCTGCTCCTTCTCCCACAGCCGGTCCTCCAGGTCCTGGATGATGTCGTCGGTCGAGGGCGAGTGGAAAGGCATCGTTTCGTTGAGATGGTTCAGTCTGTTGAAGGACGAGGTGCTCTTGCTCGAGGACCGCCCGCTGTCTGAGGTAGATATCCCGTTGTATCCCACGATGTTCTTCTCCACGTAGGTGGTCCCGATGCGGTTGATGTGGCTTGTGGAGGCGCTCATGGGGCCCACGTGCTGGCTGTAGCCCGTGCCGTAGGTGGGCAGGCTCGTGAGCGAGTTGCGGCCCGAATCCGAGAGCCCCCCGCCTTGGTTTGTAGTCCTGTTAAGGCTGCTCTTGTCGAGTCCACCCTTGGGCGCGGACGGGCTATTGCTGTTGGCGTGGTTCAAGCTCTTTCTGTTCTCTGCCATCCCGTTGCTCTGCGGCGGGCAGAGGTTCTGCATGGAATGGAAGTTTTTAGGAACTACTGGTTTAAAGGCTGAGGGTCTAACTAAGGGCTCATTGCTCTGCAAAAAGGAAAAAGGACCACGCATCAAACACAGCAGGAGGCTCGGTAACAACACACAAAAGAGACACAACGGCACAGGGTGGGGTTTATGCAGCTTGGGCTGGCTCCTTGTCCCACCTTGTTACGCATTTGGGGTTGCGCATGAGGGACCTGTGGTCACTCAAAGGGCAACACTTTGCCTTCCCTTCCTCCAGCCAAAAAGAAACCATCACGACCCACCCCAAACCTGCATGATTTTTCTCTAGAATACTCCTTGGGTTCTTTTAGTGCTTGTCACAAGGAGGGCTGCTCCTTGCTTACCAGACCTGACCAAAATAACTCTAATTTTTTTCTGATTATATTTCTAGCCTTGAGGTTGCATTGCCCTTTTGCTGAAAGCTGAATTGAACCCTTGGATTAGCAGCCCTTTGGCCTCAGGAGCATCACATCTCCCTCCTGCCAGCAGTGATCTGTTCCTGGGGGGACTTCATGTCCTGCTTGTCCTTGGACAGGAGCAGGTCGGAACTGTGACAGCGGTGACACCAGACAAGGAATATTCTGGAGCTGCTCTCATTTGAAATTTGCATTTTCTGTGGCATAAGCAATGCTGGGGGACAATAGACCGCAGCTGTAAGGGATTTAGAAAGGATTTTAAAGCCTTGCACATTCCTCACCCCATCAATGCACCATTAGAAACAAAATTTTTCCCAAAATGGGATTGAGTCTCCCCTACTGCAGATTGGATTTTAGGTGAAAATTAAACTGGAGGAAGCAAAGGTATTTTGAAAATGCTTTTTAGGAGGAACAGAATAAGCCCCACTGAACAGGTTGCAGGCTGGAGACCAAGTGTGAGACTGAGATGGACTGCAGGGGCTGTTGGATTAACAACCCAGGAGAAAAGGCCACCAAATGCTGCAGAAATAATACTGGACACAAATTATGGAAGTCACTGGAGCAGAGCAGCAGGCTACATAAACCACTGCTGGTCTGGGGCTCTGTTCCTCTAGGCCTGAGAGATTTCACTCCCTGAAGCCAATATGAACCATGAGGACTGGGCTGGGCTGGGAGATGATGTTTACAGGGGTAGTTCCCAAGCCTTTTCCCTCACAAGGGTCACTGGGATTGGGAACACATGCTCGTGGCTGTTTTCAAACAACAGCTTTAGGTGTCAGTGGGTGGTTGGAAACTGCCTATAAAAGGCACAAAGCACACAAAACAAGAGTGGGACTGAGATGCTGGACCTGCTGAAACAAGGGTTGACTCCAGCTCCCTCCCCATCCTTCAGGGAGGTAAGTACAACATCTCAGGGAAGTTGGAATAGCCAGTGACTTAAATGAGCTGTATGTGGAAGACTTGTGATCATGCTTTTGGGTTCCTCAAGTATTAACAACGCCCCTGAAAGTCATAAGAATTATATCATCTGTGCATAAAAATGTACAAAACAAAAATGAGACCGTTGAGATTGCACTGTCGCCCAAGGCCTCCTGGTCTGTGCTTCCAGAGAAGCGCCACGGCCACCCAGCCGCTCCAGGAGGTTCTCACCTGGTCTAGCTTGCCGGAGATTGGCAAAATCTTTGGTGGGTTACCGGGCTCTCGGTACTGGGGCGGCGGCGGCAGGTTCTTCTCGTTGTTGGTGGTCACGTTTCCGCAGATGTCCATCTTCACCTTCTCGCTCTTGCGCAGGTCGCCGTTGATGTAGAGGGAGTTGGAGACTTTCTCCGACTTGTAGGTCTTCTCTTCGCCGGAGTAGCGGTGGGGGACCTCCCGCGTGGAGTAGCCGTTGCGGGGCCCCTCCGTCTGCTGCCGGCTGCTGCTCTGCGTCCGCGTGCCCACGCTCTTCATGGCGAACTCCTGGTCGTTGGCCACTCCGCTGCCCACGCTCCCCATGGTGCTCTTGGGGATGGTCTGGGAATACCGGGGGGTGAAGCCGTGGAAGTTCTCCGGGCTGGGGTAGGCCGGGTCACTGAGGACGGGCAGCGTCTCTAGCGTGGCCATGGCAGCGTAGGGGTGAGGTGGAGGCACAGCTCAGTGGCACTGGGACAAGGAGGAAAAAGGGTTGTTAAAGAAATGCCTTTTGTCTACTGATCTTTCCAGATCAAAACCATGTCCTGGTGATGGGGTTCTCCTCTTCTGTGGGAGCCCCTTGGAGGAGCAGCATTCCCCAGATCTCACCCACTGTTATCAAAAAGAGCTCCTAATCTCAATCCAAGGGTTGTGGTTCCCAGGGAAGTGAGTTGCACGGATTTTAGTAGGCACAGTTCTACAGCATCAGTGAGACACAACCATTTGCTGTGCCCAAGCTTGAATTATTTCTGTCACTTTCCCCCAGGTTTGAGTAATTTTGTGTTCCCATGGGGATGGAAGGTCTCCATCCCTGGTCCTGGTTCATACAAGTGTTCCCTCCAGCACATCCCTTAGGGATGACACCACAGGGTTTAAGCAACACAGTTTTCCATCCCTTTCTTGAGATTGCTGCTCACCTGAACTTGAGCTTTTAAAAGCATGCTTTTGTGCAGGCGGCATCCTAAATTTTCTTTTAAATCTTTATGCCCCTTCTCCATTTGATTTTTACTTAGGCTGTGCCTTGGGTTGGCCAAAACGAGGCCATGGGACATGGATAACATGCAAATCGTGGTTTCAAAAGTTGTCTTTCACTAGGGTTGTCCTGGGACCAATTATCCTTGGGACCAATTCTCACAAGTCTAGATGCTCTTCATCAGCTTTTACACAATGGTGTAAAATCTTATTTAAGAAAATAAAAGACCCACAACAACCTTTTTTTTTTTGTTGCCTCGTTGAATAATGGAGAATGTGAACCCGTACCAGCCAAGGATATCATTACCTGAAGGAAGGGAGAAGGTGCATTGCAAATTTTGAGTGATTGAACCAAACCTGGAGGAGCAAGGTCAGTGGCTTGTGGACAGCTGTGGCCACTCGGCTGACCATTGTCCACCCACCCTACTGAGTTCATTGACTTGGTCCCCATGGGACAGAATGTTTTGTCTCAGGCACCCTCAGCCCCAGGTTTTCCAGGACAAATCATCCTGACAGTGTGGAGACTAAAGCAGGACTTAAGGGCAGCAGAAGGTGCAGGTTTCCTTGTGGATGGGATAAAAATAGTGGTGCCCTTTGGAGAAAGGTTCAGGGATGGCAGAGGTTAGCTGGAAGGGGAGATGGAGAAAATCACAATTTCAGTGGGGTTTTCCCTCTCCTTGGGGTAGGGATGATCATTCAGCCCTCCCTGAGTAAAGCAGAACTGGGTTTATTTCCCTGGAGAGCAAGCCGAGGTCTGGAGCTCAGCTCCCACGTGGTGTCCCACAGGGCCTTGCTATTTGCACTAATAATGGAATGGAAAAAGAATTAAAAAGGTTAAAGCAGGGTCTGTGCTGCTCAACTTTGCTTTTATTAAACTGCATTTCTGGAGGCTTCTCCTCCCCCTTTCCCAGCACCCTGCCCTGACCAAAGTACAGCCTGAGTGGCAGATGTGGAACTGCTGTGCCAGAGGGAGAGGGCACAGAGCTGCTGAGATGGGATTTAAGGTCCCTTCCAACCCAACCCAACCCAACCCAACCCAACCCAACCCAACCCAACCCACTCTGGGATTTTAAGATCAATGAGCATTACGTGAGTGCTTTGTGGCCCCTGCTGAGGACACCCTGCAGTTTGCACCTCTGTCCCCAGCAGATGATCTCATGTCGTTCCCTGATGAAAGTCTAAAGACCAGGCAGTAAAGGAGGATCACATGAGCATGTGGGAGGATCCACCACAGCCAAAACATGAGTGTTTATTGCTCCTGAGTGACGAAACCTCTGCCAGCAGCAAGAAGAGGCAGGGTCTGGTCACGTATGAGGCATGTGACATTTGGACACGTGCTCCGAGCAGCACTCAAAGGCTCGTGACCCCGTCAATCCCTAAAGACACTTCCCAAAAAACATCCCCACTGACTGTTCATGAGTGCACAATGCCCAGGGGTTAATCCAGGTGCTTGCTGAGCACCTGGAGACTTGGCTGGGCTGTGGAGTGGTGAGGAAGGATGGAGAACGCCCACCTGAAGCCGCACTCAACCATCGGTGCCTTTGGATTTTATGAGTCAGGGGAAGACTTTTTGTCCTCCTAATTTAGGAATAACCTGCTTTTCAGTGACTTTGGGAATCTTTATAGGCTGTGTCTTCTTTTTATGGGACACCAGGCACCACGGGAGGGATGTGCTGGAAGGTCTCAGCTCCAGACAAGGAAGTGGCATTGTCTCCTTGAAGTGCTCCCCAGCCAGCCTGGGAGAAATCCAGGTTACTTTTCCCTCACTGGGTAAATTTCACAGTGACATTTGCACGTTTACATTGACTCTCTTAGGGCAGGATGAGGTCACTGGAAAGTTTGATCCTTCCAAAAGGGAAAAAAAAAAAAAAAAAAAAAAAAAAAAAAAAAAAAAAAAAGGCCAACACAACAACAAGAATTTTCTTTTAACTGGGAATCATCCAAGAAAATATTCTGAAAAAAAACCCCTTGTTCTTAGCTTATGTTTACTGCAAACCTGGGATCTGATAAACAGAGCATACAGACAAGTGTTACAAATACGTTACTAAGGAGATTCCAGAAGTGCCAAGAGATCCCTGACAGTACAGCTTTGTTTGCCAAAAAGGGCCATTTTTTCCCAGGAACAACAACCCTTGGGTTCGTATCTTCTGGCCAGCTCCAGTTCTCAGTCAGGTTTTACATTGGTTGTTCCTTGGCCGAGCTGTGAAATCACATTTTGAGCACGGGAATAACGTTGCCACGCTCTGGCACAGAGTAGGAGAGTCTTTTTTTCACCCTCCAGGTTTGAGGGAATGTGTGACTAAAAACTTCCTCAGGACATTTCTTCTTCTTAAATCTCATCAACTCTGGGGCAAGAGGACAAGAGGGAATGGCTTCAGACTGATAGGGCAGGGTTAGACGGAATATTGGGAACAAATTCTTGACTGAGGGTGGTGAGGCCCTGGCACAGAGTGCCCAGAGAAGCTGTGGCTGCTCCTGGATCCCTGCAAGTGTTCAAGACCAGATTGGACGGGGCCTGGAGCAACCTGGGCTAGTGGAAGATGTCCCTGCCCATGGCAGGGGGGTGGAACTGGATGAGTTTTAAGGCCCCTTCCAAACCAAACTATTCCATGATTCCATGATAACTGCCTCCCTCCCGTGGCAGCATGAACTGAAAGTTCATGTTTGAACTTCTCACAAACTTTGTTGGTGATTCCCAAGGGTGCTGAGCCTGGCCACGAGCACAGGGAGGCTGAGGAAAGCCAAGTGTTTTGCTTTTACCAGCATTTCACTCCCAAGTCCATCCTTTAGGAGGAAAGAAGAGTCACCCTCGAGCATGGCTGGGTGACCTTCTGTGACCAGGGACACTGGGAATCCACACACTCCACATTGCACCACCTCCCCATCCCATCCACCCACAGTGGCCTCTTGGCCTTTCCTGCACCAGCCTCACCTCGGGGGCAGCAATATTTTGATGCCTGGTGCAGAAAATCTGGGGTGAAATGTCCTTTTCCCCAGCTAAGCCAGGCAAACTCTGCATGTCCACCCCTTACCAAGGTTTCCCAACCAAGGTGCCTGCAGCTCCAGGACATTCCTGGATGTTACTGTAAGTACAGTAATTTGTAAAATAACAACTGCATCTTTCCACTTGCTCCACCCAAACCACCAGTGAATGCCTTCCGGTTAGAAAGAAGAAAAATTGCTGTGAGATAAGCAGCTGAATGGTTAACTAAGACTAAATTATGGAGGCCTGGCTCGGTTTCTGCCTGAGGAGGTTAATTGTTAACGCTCTCCTAACAAAGGCCTTGGGGAGAGAGACACACCTGGGCACCGTGCCAGGGGAGAAGGGAATCAGTCATCGGTCTGGGCATGGAGAGCTCCAGCAAAGAGCCCCAGAGCAAGGCAGGGCTTGGCACACGTGCCCATCCCAGGCTTGTGGTTCTGGCAGCACGGGCAACAAAGGCACCTGAAGGTCAAAAATTCCCCCTCTTGCCAAGTGTGGTAACAGGTGTGCCCCTGACCTTCATTAGCCAGGTTTGTTTGTGGCTTTAAGGAGCCAGCAATTGCTGACACCATAAACCCTGCTCTGTTCTGTTGTTTTTTTTAGGGGCAGGGCTTACACCTGCCCCGTGTTTACGGCTCGGGTTGGCTCTGCCGGTTTGTTGGCAGTGCTGCCAAGGGGTTGGTTTGGTTGGAGGAGAAAAAGGCAGCATGTCCTGGGGTGATGGAACAGGTTAGAAAGGGTGGGAAAAGAATGGCTGTGATAATTTCAGCTTCATCCAGGAGGAGATGTGGAGTGGGAAGGACAGGAATGGGTCAGCAGTGAAGACACAGACCCTGTAGGGAGCAAAGCCACCTGTGTCCAGTGAGGCATGAACAAACCCTGGGAAAAAAACACCGCTGAAACCCAAGACTTGAACTTGTAGAATCATAGAATCACAGAATTATCCAGGTTAGAAAACCCCTCTAAGACCATGGGGTCTAACTGCTCCCTCAACACTACCAAGGTCACCACTAAACCACGTCCCCAAGTGCCACATCCATATGGCTTTTAAATCCCTCCAGGGATGGGAATTCCACCACTGACCTGGGAAGCTGTGCCAGGGCTGGACACCCTTTCCATGAAGAAATTTTTCATGATTTTGCCCTAATATCCAGTCTAAACCTCTCCTTTTTCCTCTTGTCCTCTTAGTTTCAGGTGCAGGTTTCAGTCACATCCCTCTTCCTCTCCCTCACCTTTTTTTGTACATCATGTCCTCCAAAAAGGCCACTCAGTTACTGCTCTTCCTCCTGTGTGTCACAGGCCATCACTTGTCACCTCCTTATGGCCCTGCTGGTCCCAAACCTGGCTGAGAGCTCCTCCACTGGGATTGTTGAAGAGGCAGGGACACCACAGCTCCCCTCCCACCTGGCTCCAGTGCCCCAGCACCTCCTGCTCTCCTGCACCCTTCTCAAGTTGCTCAGAGTGAAGAGGGGAACAGAATGAGTTTTTCTTGTCTCTCACAGGCATTTTTCCCAGC